AAATTGTTGAGGCAGCCTTCTGTGGGTGCTGCGGTGGGGCCGGAGGATGTGCTCGCTGACCACATCCCAGCTGTTCTGCAGCTGTGGTAGCCCAAACCCTGCAACTATTCTCATGTCTAAACTAGCCAGCGGATCACACAGTCAAAGCCTCACGGAGAAGTCTGCTTTCTGGTCACCCTATTCTGTTGCCCAAATTCATGAAACCACAATGAAGTGTGTTGTTTGCTTTCTATTCCTGTGGCTGATAGTTTGCTTATTTAACCAGAAAACAAAAAACAAAAAAGAAAAAAAACCCACTTCTTTTTGCCTTGATTATGTCCTCACCGTGGGATTAGCAAACAACTGGCCTGTGGAAAAAACGGCTAAAGAGAAACATAATGAATTAATTAGGTCTCTTCTCTTTTCACGGGCACAGGCACTGGGTTTTCAACTTCAACGCATGCACATACTACCAAGTGTGGAAAACCAGGTGATTTTCTCAGTGTAGTTTTGGGCTCCCTTCCAGGCTGAGCCCATGACGGTTGTCCAATCCGATGGTTGGTCTGATCGCCATCCACCCCCCACCCTTAAAAGCTTCTCCCCATGATTTTCCAGTCTCTGTAACAAACACTCGCCACCTCTGCCACTTTGATACACCTCCCTTTCCCACTTCTGCAAAGCATTTGGGTCTTCCGTCAGCCCCATACTTCTCAGTGTGCTCTTAGCACCTTGGGTTATGCTCTCAGTAACATAGTCCAAGATTTAATAGAATCTTCTAGTTGGTCTCCTGCTTCCTGTCTCTCCAAATTATCTTCCATTAACCTACCTAAAGTGCAGCTCCACTTAACATTATTCCTCTGCTCAACAACCTTCAGTGGCTCCCTACTTCTCACTCTGTAGCCAAGGAGCTCCACGATATGGTCCTATGTCATAAGTTTGTTTAACATAGTTGCTGCCTCAGCATCCATTTTAAGCCCTGACATAAGTTGTTTGAAACCCAGACGTAGCCCGGTCACCTTCGGCTTAGTGAAAACTTCCCCTCCCTGAGTGGTTGTGTGTGATCTGGCCCAACTGTTGCTCATCTCACTGACCCAAAACCCAGCAAAACCCATGGTTGCTGATCGCCATAAAACCTAATGATCAGTGCCGGAGTCATGGGACTTCCCACGTGTTTTCTTTAAACTAGCCAATCCACAACCCCCTTGGGAAAGCCTAGGGGACAATGCCCATCGAACTTCATAAATGCAAAATCCCACAGGGGTCCTCTCTCTCTCTCTCTCTCTCCCTGTTCACCCTTCCCTCTCTCCCCACCAGCAGGTCAAGCTCCCTGCTACCTCCACGCTCCCCCTTGGCCTCCGAGGCAGCCCTAACCTCTCCAGGATCCTTAAGCAACAAATTTCTTCTGTTTCGCGCATTTTGGCCTCACCTCCTCGCTGTGTCTCCCCTGAACGACACACCTGAGCCTAACTTCCCCCATCAGGGCTCTCCTAGGGTGGCTGTCTTGGCGTGTGGCCACTCTTGACAGACCTCGAGGCCAAATTAGAAAGAAACCATAACAATTAAAATCACAACACCCTAAACTCCCTTCTCCATCCCTCGTCCCCTCTCCAGTACACACATTCCAGCTAGACCCGGTCACTCCGTGTTGAACTCACCTGCCTGCTGCCATCTCCGTGTCTTTATGCAAGTGACTCCCCTGCCGGGGCTGCTCTGCCTCCTCCCCTATCACCCACACACTAAAATCAGATCCACCCATCAGAGACCACCTCCAGTGACAGCTCTTCCCTGAAGACTTTCCTAATCCTCCCACCCACCTTCCAAATCCCATGACATTGGATTCCTCCTGTCTCTTGTTCCCCTCCACCTTGCAGTGTCAACTCCAGAATGTCTGCAGGGGCTTCCGAGCAGCAGTCTAGTTGGAAGGGAAGGCCAGGAGTCTGGCCTTAGAGTAGCATCCGCACGAGCATTGTATTTTTACTAGAATTCTCTGGGGAGGGAGGCTGATGAGGACAGATAATGGAGTTGCTATGGCACACACACCTCTACCCCCAGCCACTGAGTAGTGTTTACTCTTCTCTTCCTCCTGCTAGACTGCAAGTGCCAAGCACAGAGGCTGGGTTCCTCCAGCCAGCGCCCACTGCAGGGTTGAGCCCAGTGCCTGATGTGGAGTAAGTGCTTGACACAAGATGTCTCTGAGAGGCATCCATCCTGGAGGGAAACACAGCTTCTTCTGGTCCGTGCAGAACAAGTAAGTCCCCAGCACCTACTGCCTATCCCTGCCCTTGTCGCACTAAAGCCAAGGGTGGGACAGTCATTCTGTCCATCTTCAATAGGCTCCTATGACAGTTCCTCACCTGCTGCTCCTTTAAGCTGCCATTTTACTTCTGAACCTGAATTTACCCAGAAAAATGTGATGGGCAGAACACCCAATCCTAAGGTGCCAACCTGAGTGAAGAACAGGGCCACTCCCCCTCACACTGTTTTGTCAGTTTCCTCATGCTTCTGCTTTCTGAGCGTGCACCCAGCAGGCGCCACCCCTCATGTGCAGCAGAGACAGCAGGTTGCCCCACACCCCAGCGGTACCCGTGTTCCCTGTGCTGGGTGTGGTGCATCCCAGGAGAGCCTGCACACAGCAGGTGGCATCCAGGACGTCCCTCCTCACAAAAGGGAGACAGGGAAAGAGTGGCCAACCCCAGCTCTCCTTCCGTGGTCCTCTATAGGTGTGAGGCCAGATTTTAACCTCTCCCTTGGCAACTCTGCACATCGGACAAGAGAGAAGCTGATACAGATATCAGTCTTGTACTGCCTTAGACATTCACTCCCCCCACCCCTTGTTTCTTAATGGCTTTTTTTTAAAACACTTGAACCCAATTTAGCCTGTTTCCTGTTCATAGTCTTAAGGTACCCAGGCCCTTTACAGTAAAGAAAGACAAGGATACCCTGGAGCTTTATGTTAGGAATGTTTCTAGATTGTTGGCTGAAAGCATGTACGTTTGTTAATTTGCACCCTAAACACACTCCATGGCCTCATTTAAATCTGAGTGCTCGTGTGTGTATTCCAACTGCCTGCGCAGAGTTCCAACTTAATCAAGTACTTAATGAGCAGCATTAATATTCGTTGTCTTCTCCGTGGGCGCCTGCACTCATCAAGGTAAATAGCTACTGGCCGCCTCCACGGTCCGTGGTTGAGCTAAGAATTGTCTGTCTTCATCTTGACAGCGGACTGTTTGTCCCCCAAGACAAGACAACCCTGCTGGGTGCTTTCCAAAGGCCTCATTTTAAGAAGGCATGTTTCCACTTACAGATCTTCTGACAATGCCAGGCCATCTGGAAGAGCAGTATGAATTAAGAATGTATTATCTGGGTGATATTCAGAGATTCTCGTAGTGTGCCTATTACATGCCAGGCATTGTACTAAGTGCTAGGGATGCAGTGATGATCCCACAGAGTCCTGGTTCCTGCTTTCATGACCCATACAGCACGGTGGGAGAGGCTGACACTTACAGAAAGGTCACCCTGATGAGAGCATTATTACAGAGTGAGATCAGTATTAGGACGGAAAGGCATGGGGTTTGAGGACTCCATATGGTGGGGGAGGGGTGTTGGAGCTGAGCTATGAAAGATGAATTGGGGGAGACATTGGTTATTCACTGAATATTAGGGCAGAAAGACCCCCCCCAACATCTAGTATAACTCCTCCATTCATAGATGAGGAAACAGGCGCAGCAGAGCTAAATGACCCTGTCCGGATCAGAGCTAATTATAGAAACCAGCGATCGCAATACTCAATCCCTTCCTGCTAAATCACGTGAATTTTATTCATATCCCAGCTATAGATTACCCAAATACACTTGACAAATAAAACGCGGAATATTGAGCTAAAACCACATCTCTCAAAACCACAAGCATAAATAACCACCGTGTTTGAATGTGGGTGTTACCTTTTCATTTTGCAAATCCAGAGTTTCATCATATCAAAATTCAAGACAGATTGTTCTGCAAGGGCGGGAAGGTCATAACCCTGTCTGAAATGGACTGGCAAATCTCTCCAACCGCGCGGTGCTGATTGGGGCGTGAGCTGGGTATCCAGGCTGACTTCACGCCCCAGCTGGGGGTTCAAATCTACACGGGGCGATCGCGGTAGTTCTGTGCCAGGGTCCTTCCCTGGGCTCCCGGAGCCTCTGGGGATTTACCACCGCCGACGGGGCCGCGTTCTCGCCAGTGTGTGCACGGGCTGCATGATAAAACCATTCTTTTGAAAAGCCCGTGAGATTGCACTTGCAATCTGTGCGTGTGCGTGCAAAAGCGCAGAGCAAAGACTGGAAAGAACCACGGCGGAGCACACCCCGGCCAGAGGTTGGTTACCCCTGGGGAAGGGCTGCAATGGGGAGAGGATGCGCTATCATCTTCTTTGTACTCTAGACACTCCTGAGTTGGGGAAAACTGAACGCAAGAACGTATTCGTGTATTAGGCATGTAATACATACGTATTAATCTTTTCAAGAAGATTCTTAAACAAAAATAAAATCTCAGTAGAACAAAGGTGCGTCTCCGCAGAGCGCAACAGCATTTATCATGGATGTAACTGCCTCCTCTAGAAACCTCAGAGGAACTCCCCCTCGACCACTGCCGAACTGAAGGTGGCAAATGTGCGCTCCACGGCATCCCCGCGGGGCACTGGGAAAGTTGGAGGCGCCCGGGGGTCGCCGCACTTGCTGCCCGCGTCCCCTAACCCGAGCGTTTGGGTGAAGTCTTGACTTTCCGGCTGGCGCACTCCGCACCCACCCAACTGGTGCTGATGCGGGAGGGTGGGGCCGCGGCGGGGCGGGGCAATCCGAGCCCGCACCCCACCTCCTCTCCCGCCCCCGCCCTGCCAGCCCCGCCCGCGCTCGCCCCCCGCCCGCGCCCGGGGCGCCCGGCCCGCCCCCTCCCCTCCGCGCGCAAACGAACCTCGCGACGCCGCGCTGGGCGGCGGGCGGGGGCCGGGCGAGGGAGGGGGCTGGCCCGGCCGACCCACTCCGCAGTTGTCTCCCGAGCGCGGGCTGAGGCGCCCGAGCCGCTGGGCCGGGGAAGCACTGGCGGTTCGCTCCTGGGCCAGCTCGTCCAGGCGCTCGCAGGCATGCAGCCCGGGAGCAGGCGGCGCGCCCCGAGCCGCTGTTGAGCCGGCGGGGGCGGCGGGGACCAGCGCCAGCAGAGCCCCTCCCACCTTGCGCCGGGGTAGACGAGCGGCGCCCCGGCACCCCCTCTTCGCCTGCAGCCCCGCCAGCGCCACCCCCCGCGGGCCGCAGGGGCTCATGCAGCCGCCAAGGTAAGCGCGGGCCGGGAGCCGGGCGGACACGGCTCTGACATCCCCAAGGCGCCGCCGACACTTGCCGGGGCCACGGAACTGCTTTGGTCTTCCCCAACCCCGCGTCTCATCTTGCTCCCATCTTGCCCACATTTGGAGCGTTGCTGAGCCTCGATCGCTTTAGTTCTTGGCAGCAGGAAAGTTTTTGTGGTTTGGTGTTTGTTCTTTTTTCCTAAAATACTCTCCTCCGGGCAGCCGACCGCGCGCGTGGTTGGGCAGACCGGGCGCACGCCCCTTCCACTGTGTGCGGGCTGGGAGCTCCCTCTGCCCAGCGCGGCCACCTCCTCCTGGGGCGGGCCGCTCCGCCCGACCCACGGACCTCGGAGGGAGCCGGCCACCTAGCTGTCCGGCCTTGAACCCCCATTGGCCTGCGTCGCCGGGCCCCCGCCTCCCGCCCGACGCCCGGCTGCGGAGCCGTTGGGCGAGCGCTTGTCCCCGGGGGCGTCGGCGCAGCGCACGGTCTGGGCTGGGGGCCCACCGGCCCTTTGCCTGGGCTCGTGCGTGCGCAGGAAGGTGCGGGATTGGGTCGAGCGCTAACGGGTAGGATTCCCGAGAGGCTCCGGCCCTCCTAAGTGGACTGGCAGGCTCGGCGGACAGCGCACGGCGACGACTCCGCCGGGCTCTCGCCACGGCCATCCCAGAGCAGAGCGGGGCCGGTGGACAGGTGTGTTTAGGACGAGGGCCGATGGGGAGGAGGGAGGACGCTCGGATGCAATTCACGATTGCAGCTTATTAATGCAATTGCATTAGATCTTCTCGGAGGTAGAATCACTTCTCCAAAACTGGGATTTTAATGCGAGCCTGTGAGCGTCTGTGGCGTGGTTTCGGAAGGCGTTGGATTGTGTTTATTTTGTAAATTGGGCGTCTTGCGGACGGACTGGGGGGATAGCGCCACCTAGAGGAAACGGGGAGCGGCGCAGTCCTCTCCGGCCCGAAGTTGGGTGTTCTCAAAGTGGACTCGTGCGCGGCGCGGGGAGGCGGGAACGGCCCGCGCGTGCGGGAAAGAGCGGCTGTGCGTGCATTTGCGGTCCCGCGGAGAGACCCGGCGCCCCGACCTCAGCACGCCGAGCTCACGGGACGGACTTGCGGGTCGTACTAAGTGGCAGGCTCTCAATTCAGGGAGCTCCATCACCGTCTCCATCTGGTTTTAGACTCTTCCAGCAAAAACATAACAAAAATGTTACCTGCTGTAGGAAGGTGCCCCTTCCTCAGACATCTGTCGTAGAAGTCTGGAACCCTATGCACGAACCTCGCTCTTCTCCTGCGTGTCTCAGACAGGTGATTTCTCAGGTGGATTTTGAGCCATGACCCTTAGAAAAGAGATTGGCTGTGCCAATCCGCTGAAGAGCAGCAGAAGGAGAGCTGGGAAAGGGCGTCATGCCAATCTCTACAGGAGCGGCGTGGCTACCCCAAATGACAATTTTTGCACATACGAAGAAGGGGTGTCTTGTTTTTCTACCACCACAGCAGGCGACAGGCAAGCCCCCTTTACAGGGACTTGATCTCCAGTTAACAACTGGGGTGGACCCTGCGGGAGGACAGGCAGAGCAGACAAAGGCTCTGGGTGGGGCACCCACGCATCCAGGCGGGCTCCAAGTTCTCTGTGGCTGCTTTTTGCTGCCACCTTCCACGCCAGATAATATTAGCAGCGAGCTGAGTTCTCCTTGCTCTGAAGGGCATGCCGTTGCCTTGTAGAACAGTGTGGGGTTCAACTTGTGTGCCCCCAGAGAGCCTGTGGGCTTTGGTGGTAGTGAGGGAGGTCCTAGCCACCTTTTTCCAACAGTCCCGCTTCCATTACTTCCCTCCCAGGTGACAGACGGGTGCTTATACCCCAATTAGACATGTGTTAATAAAACACTGGGTGACTTGTCTGCCCCCCCTACTTAGTCTCAAAGTGTTTTTCCATTTGCAGGTATTTAATAACCAGACTGTGATAAAAGGGGTTTTAGAATAGCTTGGCATCTTATTCAAGGAGGTTATCTTTGACTTTTGCTAAGAAAGCTCTGTCAGCTTTTTCTCCTCACAAACCTCTCCCGAGGCATGACTTGCTGTCTCCCCACGTGTTTGGTAATAGAGAAAGGAGGCCTGGGAAGCCCCTGGTCCATATGATCCCTTGGTTCTGCTCTTCAGCAGCCCTGTGTGAGGCCAAATGCAAGAATTCTTAGATGAGGAGATACAACATGAATAGGGAATGAGCATAGCATCCCTGACATTGGGACAGGGAGCTTTCAATCCACCCTCAGGGGATGCTCACTGTCCCCAGAAGCGGGAAGGAACAGGTGCTGGTATTTTCATTTCGCAGAAGAAACTGATGGCCAGAGAGGTGAAAGGGTATGGCAAGGGTTCTGTGGGTCTAAAGTGTTTTGCTTTTCTTTTTAACAACCTTGCTACCAAATGAATTAAGTTCAAGCACTTGCTTTTACCAAGTATGGTCACAAAATGTGGCCACGTCTTTAAAGCATGCAGTGTAAATATGAAAGGAGCTGTGGTCACCGGTCTGCCAAGAAGTCAGCCATCCAGGGAAAGAAGACAGGAGGTACCCAAGTGAAATCGAGCAAAAACAGACAAGGATTATCAGAAACCAGTGCTAATTGGAATCCGTTAGTTCTGTGAAATGAAATGGTACTACCCCTTAAAGGTAATTGTTCTAGAACTTGATTTGTAATATCCCAAAGGTAAGTTCAGATAACTTTTGAGTGTCTGCAGTATTCCCGTGGCTCTTTAGGAGTATGGCTTTGCTTTTCAAACAATATCCATTGTTTAGTCATTCAACAAACTTAACTGAACATAAGTTTAACCCAAAGAAAGGTGGCTCCAGGCTTTCCCATCTGTCTGATATCCAGCCCTGTCCAAATGACAGTCTCCTACTCTTTTTCTTATTTTTACCGAATAGCAGCTCAGTTTCAGCCTCCCTTCTCTTAGCAACAGAGCTATAAAGGAGCAATGAACAGGGCAGTGGAAAAAATTAAGGACTGCCTCACCCAAATGTGCATGCAAGGCCAGGCAGAAGTCAGTTTCCTTGGTGACAGATGAACAAATGAACATCTTTGAAAGGATACCCAGTTTCTTAGCCAGGTCTGTGCTGTAAGTAGAAAATGCCATTTCATAAAAGAACCCAGGAGTCAGAGGGCAATAATGCCTAGTGAGGTGTGAGACTATAATTCTAAGGGCAAGAAGAAGAAGGAATTTTGAAATTTGGGCAGAAATTGACCAAATAAATGCAAATATCTTTTATAACCCCATTTTAAAAATTTTAAGTCACTGCTAATTGATGAACATAAAAATGTACTATGTACCTACCCAACTTATAAAATTATCATATCCAGATTACTACAGTAAAGAATGAAAGTATAGCAAACACAGTTTATGCAGAGAATAATTATATAATTGCTGGTTGAATTTACTTCTCACTTTTCCCCAATTGCTTGTTTAAAGCAATGTTACAAGGTACAGAACTTTTAGAAATCAAGATACTGGATTTTCCAGCATCTGAAAATCAGGCAAAAACTTGGAAAACAAAAGATTCTGTCAACTATCTGGTAATAAAAGGCCGATTCCAATAGATTCTGTGTCCTCCATGGGCCAAAGCACAGAGATCAGCAGATGTGAGTAAAAATACTCTACAATTTATTGACGTCTATCTCATTAGGCCTTTTTAGTGCTACCATCTGTGGTGGCTTCTCCTTATATATCATTTTTTCATCTTCGTAGACTCTAAGATCTCAAGGTCTTTTTAGCAGCTTGCCCTGACTGACAGCAACAGTTTATCCTGTTTCCTGATAATGCTCCACTCTTCTTCTGTCCTTATAAACAGAGATATTCAAAGTCCTCAGTAAGAGTTTCAGTTCTAGTACTTTATTCTCAGTACACTTTTCTTCTTGAAGATGGATGCAAACTATTTTCATCCTCTGTAGGTGTTTTGAAGAATTTTCTCCTTGGCGATGTCTGTGAACAAGATGAGGTAGAAACACACAGACTTACTCATCATGGCCCTCTAAACATCCATCACGTTATAAGCATTGTCAGCCACAATGCAGACACGACTTTAGAATTCACTTTCCTTTTAGACTTTTATACATTTCCCAACTGACCTGTACCATGATGTGTCTCTTCCTTGCAGATTATCTCGCTAAATACCACAGATCTAATTGTTTAAGGTGCTTTCACAAAGTTTGCTCCACTTGTAAGACTGTAAGGCCTTGCTAGTCAGTTTCCTCTTGCAGGGATACCATGTTACCTGTTGAAATGCTGGCTCTCGGAGAGGCTTGCTGTCTGCCAGGCAAATGCTGGACCATCTTAGTGACATAGAAAATTTGCTGCCAGTGTGCATTTTCAGTGCTTCACAGTGGTGCTGAAGAAGAGATTGCTCTTGCAAGAACATATCCATCGAACACTGGCTTCTTCCACACAGGGTATATTCCGGTTGTCAGAAGAGCTCACAGAAATGCATATTTCATTTAGAGAATCATAAAAATTACAGTTTCCTCAAAACAACTGGTACCTTGAGAAGAAGAATAATTAACATTTGGAAGTTTGGGCACATAATGTGCTTTCATTTATATTCATTTTAATATCCTAAGGAGGTACAGTGTAAATAATAAGTAGATTTTTTAATGCATTTGCATTTTCTTAGATGGGCTCCCATTTAATTATACAAGAGATAAAGCAAAAAGAGATGCATAGCTTAGAGGCTGGGCTCACCTGTACATGTTAGGAGGTTCACGATGGCATTCCCTCAGAGGTCCAACCCTGCTAATAACCCCTCACTGCTAAGCTTGGGCAGGTCACTTTTGTCCCAGAACATGAGACTCATGGAGTTTAATTTGTTTTGTTATACATCAGTGAGTGCAGCTAAAATAGTTTGACATTCAGATTTCAGAACACTGATTTCAAAATGCTTCTCTTTGCTGTCCTAAAACACACTTGGTTTTGTATCTTTGGGTATCGCAAGATCACATGGC